TGTGAAGTTGGTTTTGGATTTGTTTGGGTTTTTTTTAAGATTCTACATAAGTGAAACATATCTTTCTTTGTCTGACTTATTTCACTCAGCATGATGCCCTCAAAGTCCTCTCATGTTGTCATAAATGGCAAGATTTCACTATTTTTGTGGCTGAATTATATTCTATTATAAGTATTTACCACATTTTCTTTATCCATATATCCATCAATGGACACTTAGATTTTTTTCCCCCTTGTCTTGGCTACTGTAAATAACCAATTCAACAAGGAAGAGTAAAAGAAAAAAATAAAAGAGTTGGTGGAGAAAACATAGTAAATGAGACATGTAAAGTAAGATTGTAGAAATATAGCCAAAATGTGAGGCTTCCCTGGTGGCTCAGACAGTAAAGAATATGCCTGCAATGCAAGAGACCACAGTTCAGTCCCTGGGTCTGGAAGATGAGCTGAAGAAGGAAATGGAAATCCACTCCAATATCCTTCCCTGGAGAATTTCATGCACAGAGGAGCCTGGCAGACTAGAGACCATGGGGAAGCAAAGAGTCGGACATGACTGAGTGACTAACACTTCACATGTAAGTAATCACAAGAAATGTGAATAGCTAAAATTCTCTAATTAAAAGTTTAAATTCTTCAATTCAGTTCAGTCACTCAGTCATGTCCAACTCTAAGAGATCCCATGTACTGCAGCATGCCAGGCCTCCCTGTCCATCACCAACTCCTGGAGTTTACTCAAACTCCTGTCCATTGAGTCAGTGATGCCATCCAACCATCTCATCCTCTGTCATCCCCTTCTCCTCCTGCCTTCAATCATTCCCAGCATCAGGGTCTTTTCAAATGAGTCAGTTCTTCGCATCAGGTGGCCAAAGTACTGGAGTTTCAGCTTCTACATCAGTCCTCCAATGAATATTCAGGACTGATCTCCCTTAGGATGGACTGGTTGGATCTCCATGAAGTCCAAGGAACTCCCAAGAGTCTTCTCCAATATCACAGTTCAAAAACATCATTTCTTCAACACTCAGCTTTCTTTATAGTCCGATTCTCACATCCATACATGACTACTGGAAAAAACATAGCTTTGACTAGATGGACCTTTGTTGGGAAAATAATGTCTCTGCTTTTTAATAAGCTGTCTAGGTGGGTCATAACTTTTCTTCCAAGGAGCAACCATCTTTTAATTTCATGGTTACAGTCACCATCTGCAGTGATTTTCAAACCCAAAACAATAAAGTCTCTCACTGTCACTGTTTCCCCATCTATTTCCCATGAAGTGATGGGACCAGATGCCATGATCTTAGTTTTCTGAATGTTGAGTTTTAAGCCAACTTTTTCACCCTCCTCTTTCACTTTCATCAAGAAGCTCTTTAGTTCTTCTTCACTTTTTGCCGTAAGGGTGGTGTCATCTGCATATATGTGGTTATTGATATTTCCCCTGGCAATCTTGATCCCAGCTTGTGCTTCATCCAGCTTGGCATTTTGCATGATGTACTCTGCATATAAGTTAAATAAGCAGGGTGACATTATACAGCCTTGACATAGTCCTTTCCCTATTTGGAACCAGTCTGTTGTTCCATGTCCAGTTCTAACTGCTGCTTCTTGACCTGCATACAGATTTCTCAGGAGGCAGGTAAGGTGGTCTGGTATTCCCGTCTCTTAAAGAATTTTATTGTGATCCATATAGTCAAAGGCTTTGGCATAGTCAGTAAAGCAGAAATAGATGTTTTTCTGGAACTCTCTCACTTTGTCAATGATCCAACAGATGTTGGCAATTTGATCTCTGGTTTTTCTAAATCCGGCCTTTTCTAAATCCAGCTTGAACATCTGAAAGTTCATGTACTGTTGAAGCCTGGCTTGGAGAATTTTGAGCATTACTTTGCTATCATGTGAGATGAGTGCAATTGTGCGGTAGTTTGAACAATCTTTGGCATTGCCTTTCTTTGGGATTGGAGTGAAAATTTACCTTTTCCAGTCCTGTGGCCACTGCTGAGTTTTCCAAATTTGCTGGCATATTGAGTGCAGCACTTTCACAGCATCATCTTTCAGGATTCGAAAAAACTCAACTGGAATTCCATCACCTCCACTAGCTTTGTTCATAGTGATGCTTCCTAAGGCCCACTTGACTTCGCATTCCAGGATGTCTGGCTCTAGGTGAGTGATCACACCATCGTGATTATCTGGGTCGTGAAGATCTTTTTTGTACAGTTCTTCTGTGTATTCTTGCCACCTCTTCTTAATATCTTCTGCTTCTGTTAGCTCCATACCATTTCTGTCCTTTATTTAAATTCTTAAATGAGGTAATAAGAAACAGATATGTCTTCTTTTAAATAAGCTATAGTTCTTTTATAATAGATAAATTCTCACAGAAAAGTTGAAAATAAGATGACAGACAATGAAACATCAGGCCAATACTAACCAGTGAAAAGACAGACTGGGCCACCAAGAAAGGAACTATTAGGATTCCCGTCAAAACAGAACTTAACATTCAGCTCCAAGAAGTGCAGTTAGCTGGTGGTTTTTAATTGCTAAGACCTTCAACCTTCATTTCAGCTTTCAAGCTGAGGCCATACTCTTCCCAACCATTGACTAAGCTTGAAGGCGTATCAGAGTTTGACCATCTCTGCTCATAAAAGACTCCTTTTAGAAGCAGTCCTTGCTCCAGCACTTCTTGATGGTTTGGCCATTACTTGGCAGTTCTTAGTTGTTATATGAGGCTCCCTGTCTTCCATCCTGCTTTCTCCCTTCTTTCTTTTCACATGTTTTGTTCAGATTAGCGTTATAGTCTAAAAACTTGTCCTCCTCCATTTCCAAACCCTTTAATCTTTCAAAAGTATAAACTTTCACCCCTAATTAACTTTTATCTTGACTAATTCCATCTTACTACTTCCTGGAAAATCTGACACATTAGGTCCAATTTCTAGATTCTCTGATTCCACAGATCTAGAGAGGATTTGAGGAATCTATGTATTTTTTAGTTCCCACAAAATTCTTATTTTCAACTATGTTTAACATCCCTGTAGTAGATTTTAATACATTTATTTTATGTAAAGTGAAATTTGACATTATAAATTATATTGAAGTCTTTACTATGATGTCATTTGATATGACTATTTTGACATTATTGAGTTAAGATGTAAAATATTGAAACAGATATTCTTGAATCTAAGAGTGAACCTCATCCCAATAAGGGGATGGATGAAGAGTTAAGAAAATATTAAGGACAGGGTTATATTGTGCACACTTCTTGGTAATATTTATATGCAGACTGTTTTCTTGACCAAGCCAAATTGGTTTGGTTAAAATATTATGTGTCAAGTGTCACATGATATGTATATTAGTTTAGATATGTGTATTGGTTTTACATCCAAATAGACTAACAATCCTTTTAAGGACAAAGTTCAGAGTAACCAAAATGTCTTCGGGGAGACAAAATATTAATAAAATTAAATAGCTGTCAAATGTTTCAAATGGCACAATTAGAGAATGAATGGATATTGTTTAATTTCTACCATGTTAAAAAATTTTCATTTTCAGTATCATTCTTCCTGTGTGTGTGTGTGTGTTAATCACTCAGTCATGTCTGACTCTTTGCGACCACATGGACTATAGCCTGCCAGGCTCCTAAGTCCATGGGATTGTCCAGGCAAGAATACTGGAGTGGGTCACCATTTCCTTTTCCAGGGTCATTTTTCCTGCTATGAAGTAAATAGACTTATTTTTAACAATAAAATGTATTTTTAATAATATTAAAATGATTAATATATACACTCCCAATATTTTATTCCACAGAAAAATGGAAGAAAGGGTCATGTCATCGTATGGCTATTCCTTTAGCATATAGATCATACTTAAAAAATATCCCAAGTCCTCAATAATGCATATTTAGCTGATTATATAGTCAATAAACATTTGCTACTTGATAAATACCTCACAATAAAATGTATACCATAAAAATACACATTTCCAATTTATCATATATTATTAGGTGTTAGAGAACAATACCTCTATAGAGATATAATAATTTCAGAAGAAGCTAATGTCCTCATATATGTGTCCTCCTCTCTCCTCCCCCCATATATACACACACACACATGAAAGAAAAATATAAATTCAGTTTTATTAAATAGTGAAATTATTATAATCTATACTTGCTAACAGAAGGTTTACTTTTTATGGATATTAAAATAACAGAAAAGGCACATTCAAACAGGACTAGAGGGAATGTAAATTGATACAATTTGACATATCAGTCAATAATAAAGATGCACAAACCCTTTGACCTGGCGATTTCACTCAAGGAAATTATCTTACAAATATGTTCAAACACATACAAAGAGATGAATCCACAAGAAACATTCTATGTAGTATTGTTTATAATAGCAAAACAAACAAAACAATCTAAATGTCCACCACTAGATTTGTGTTCAATCAAATTAAATTCTGTTACATACAATGGAATTGTAGTAATCATTAAGAAGAATGAGGTAGCTCTGCTTGTTTTGATATGAAAGATCTCCAGAATATATTATATCATTAACTTTCTATAAGTAAAGAATAAAATTATGGTATGTTCCCATTTGTATCTTGACAAGGATATGTGTATGTATATGTAAGTGAACATATAAGTGTATATATATATCATGCACATATAGATTAGGCATATGCACATAGAAATTTTCTATATTACATAAAAACTGTCGGTAACTGTTCCTTCTGTGGAGTTATTTGAAGTAACTCAGTTTTCATCATCTACTGTACTGAACAACTTGAATATTTAGTCATGAGCATATGCTTTCTTTGTAATAATGTCAATTCTTCAAAGAACTAGCTCATAAAAGCTAAAATTCTAAAATTTCTATTGTATAAAGATATAAATGCATATCCTCTAGAATGTCTCTGTCTTCTAGGAATCTTTGGAAAGCTAATTTCAAAATAGACCTTCCATTCCAGAACTCTAAGAATATCAAAACAGTATCTGTACTGTATCTTGATTCACTTGTCCTGGTGTTACACTCCAGGAACATATATAGTATGGAGATTCATCCCATCAGCTTCACTTTGTAATACCTGAGATGTCTTCACCCTGTTTGTAATATCATAAAGTGGATTGTTCTTCTCTGTGTAGCTGGCATAGGGTTCCATTTCATCCTAAGAAATAACCCAAGGTTAAAATCAGTTCAAAAAACCAGAAATCACTAACTACGTATGGAGAAGAATGAAGTGATACAAGATGTATTTCAGAAGAGAGTTGAAGACTTAATAAACTTTTGGTTATAAGAGATTATAGAGATGGATAGGTTTTAAACTTGATTAAGAGGGAAATAATGATGCTATTGAAAAAAGGAAGTAAAAAATTAGAGATAGTTTAATGGGAGAGTAAATAACAACTCAATTTCTCAAAGAGTACAGTCCAAATGAGGCAAATATTATATCTGTGTAGGATACAGTTCTTGAAATAAAAATAGGGATTTGGGCTTTGTATAAATAGTACTTGGTAGATAGTTAACAAAATAAGTATACCTGGCAGAATTGTAAAATTACAATTTTTATTTTTCAACTAAAATACTAATACTGGTACAAATTACAAATTATATGGCTAGATTTTTCAGACTACATAGCTTGAAAGTTTGTAAATGATCTTTTTAATCTCATCTTACCTCTTCAACAACTGGAGCATGTTCTGTTTTTTTAAATTTACATTTTCTGTAAAAATAAAAACAAGCTGCAGTGAAAGTCAAAACATTATTATTCAGATTGAAAATGGAAAAACAAAACAATATACTATTGACAACTGTTCATTTTGATAGAAGCTATAATAAATCATAAGTGAACTATCAGAAATGAGTGAAGACTACTGCTTGTAGTTGATTTACCTAAATAATTCTGACTTTTGGAAAGGGAAGTAAAATTATGCAAAGAACCTTGATGCAGTAGAATATATGTGGCACCACATCTTTGGTACATGACATGAATTACTATAATTCACCTCCCAAATGGAAAATAGCATACACTGTTTCACCCAAGATCTGGCCCTAAATGGCCTAATTCACTACACTTGCATGTCTTAGTAACCTAGAAAAATCCCCCTCATCATTCAGAGTAGTCCAAGTATATTATTTTCAGGACTTGTTTCCTGATGATGGGAGAATTGATATTAACATCTTAATTTTACCCATCAGCCAGTTCAATATTTCTGACTTCTTTCTAACCCAATAAAGCCAACAGATAGAAAACACCAGTCAGTACCTGTAGCCACTGCTTTTCAAAAGCCAAATGGATCCCACGATGACCAAGATAATAAAAATAGGGAGAATGATATATAAAATACTTGAAAGTGATAATATATTGGTATCTGTAAATATAGACACAAAAATGCATAACTTAATATTATTCAGCACTAAAAAAAATGAGCTACCAAGACATGAAAAGATGGAGGAAACTTAAAAGCTTAAAACTTAAAAACTTAAAAGTGAAAGAAGCCAATCTGAAAAGGCTACATATTCTGTGATTACAACTATATGACATTCTGGTAAAAAGCAAAACTATGATGTCTATCTAAAAATTAGGGGCTGTTAGAGGTTAGAGTGGAAGGAAGGATGAATTGGTGGCATATAGAGGACTTTTACCCTTTATGGATCACAGCCTTGTTATGGCAAAGGGGCTTGCATAGGTCAATGAAACTATGAGCCATGCTATGCAGGGCCACCCAAGATAGATGGGGAATAGTTAAAAGTTCTGACAAAACATGGTCTACTAGAGGAGGAAATGGCAAACCACTCCAGTGTTCTTGCTGCAAGAACCCCATGAACAGTGCATGGACGCATGCATGCTAAATCTCTTCAGTTGTGTCGGACTCTTTGCAATCCTAGGGACTATAGACTGCCAGACTCCTCTGTTCATGGGATTCTCCAGGCAAGAATACTGAAGTGGGTTGCCATGTCCTCCTCCAGGAAATCTTCCCAACCCAGGGATCAAACCTGCATCTTTTATGTCTCCTGTGTTATGTCTCCTGTCTTTTATGTCTCCTGTAGCAGGTGGGTTCTTTACCACTAGCACCACCAAGGAAGCCCCCCATGAATAGTATGAGAAGACAAAAAGATATGACACCTGAAGATGAGCTCCTCAGGTCATAGGTGTCCAATATGCCACTGGAGAAGAATGGAGGGTAATTGCTCCATAGAGAATGAAGCAACTGGGTGAAAGTGAAAATGACACTCAGTTGTGTATGTGTCCGGTTGTGAAAGTAAAGTCTGATGCTGTAAAGAACAATACTGCATAGGAACCTGGAATGTTAGGTCAATGTATCAAGGTAAATTGGATGTGGTCAAGTAGGATGTGGCAAAAGTGAACATCAACATCTGGGAAATCAGTAAACTAAAATGTAAGGGGATGGAAGAATTTAATTCAAATGACCATTATATCGACTACTGTGGGCAAGAATCTCTTAGAAGAAATGGAGTAGCCCTCACAGTCAACAAAAGAGTCTGAAATAAAATACTTGAGTGCAACATCAAAAACGATGGAATGATCTTGGTTCATTTCCAAGGCAAACCACTCAACATCACAGTAATGCAACCACTGATGCTGAACAAGCTGAAGTTGAATGGTTCTACAAAGATCTATGACACCTTTTAGAACTAACACCGAAAAAAGATGTCTTTTTTCATCATAGGCAATTGGAATACAAAAATAGGAAGTCGGGAGATACCCAGAATAACAGGCAAATTTGGCCTTGAAATACAAAGTGAAGCAGGGCAAAATCTAACAGAGTTTAGTCAAGAGAACATGCTGGTCATAGCAAACACCGATTTCCAACAACACAAGAGATGACTCTCTACATGGACATCACCACAGATGGTCAAAACCAAAATTAGATTGATTTTATTCTTTGCACCTGAAGATGGAGAAGATATATACAGTCAGCAAAAACAACCTGGAGCTGACTGTGGCTCAGATCATGAGCTCCTTATTGCAAAATCCAGGTGAAAATTAAAGAAAGTAGGGAAAACCACTAGGCCATTCAGGTATGACCTAAATCGAATCCCTTATGATTATACAGTAGAGGTTTCAAATAGATTCAAGGGATTAGATCTGGCAAACAGAGTATCTGAAGAACTATGGATGGAGGTTCATAACACTGTACAGGAGGTAGTGACCAAAACTGTCCCAAAGAAAAAGAAATGCAAGAAAGCAAAGTGGTTATCTGAGGAGGCCTTACAAATAGGTAAGGAAAGAAGAGACATGAAAGTCAAGGGAGAAAGGGAAAGATATACCCAACTGAATGCAGAGTTCCAGAGTATAGCAAGGAGAGATTTAAAAGTCCTCCTTAAGTAAACAATGCACAGAAATAGAGGAAAAGAATAGAACAGAGAAGACTAGAGATCTCTTCAAGAAAATTGGAGATATCAAGGGAGCATTTCATGCAAGGATGGGCACAATAAAAGACAGAAATGGTAAGGACCTAACAAAAGCAGAAGATATTAAGAAAAGGTGGCAAGAATACACAAAACTATACTAAAAAAAGTCTTAATGATGCAGATACCTACAGTTGTGTGGTCATTCACCTTGAGCCAGACATCCTGGAGTGTGAAGTCAAGTTGGTCTTAGGAAGCATCACTATAAAACAAAGCTATTGAAGGTAATGGAATTTAAGCTGAGCTATTTCAGATCCTAAAAGATGCAGTTAAAGTGCTGCTCTCAACAGGTCAGCCAATTTGGAAAACTCAGCACTGAAAAAGTTGAGTTTTCATTCCAATCCCAAAGAATGGCAATACCAAAAAATTTTAAATCTACTGTACTATTGCACTTATTTCACATGCTAGCAAGGTTATGCTCCAAATCCTTCAAGCTAGGCATCAGCAGTATGCAAACCAAGAATTCCAGGTGTACAAACTGGATTTAGAAAAGGCAGAGGAACCAGAAATCAAATTGCCAACATTTGTTAGATCATAGAGAAAGTGAGAGAATTTCAGGAAAACATCTACTTCTGCCTCCTTGACTATGCTAAAGCCTTTGACTATGTGGATCACAACAAATTGTGGAATATTCTTAAAAAGATGGACATAATGGATCACCTTTCTTGTCTCCTGAGAAACCTGTATGCCAGTCAAGAAGCAGCAATTACAAACAGACATGGAACAATAGCATGCTTCAAAATTGGGAAAGGAGTGTGACAAGGTTGTATATTGTCACACTGCTTATTTAACTTATATGCAGAATACATCATGTTGAAATGCTGGGCTGGATGAATCACAATCTGGAATCAAGATTGCCGGGAGAAATATCAATCATTTCAGATACCCAGATGATGTCACTCTAATGGCAGAAAGTGAAGAGGAATTAAAGAGCCTGCTGATGAGAGTGAAAGAGAAGAATGAAAAAACTGGCTTGAAATTCAACATTAAAAAAATTATCATGGCATCCAAGATAAAGACCAGTACAGTATACTAATGCATATATATGGAATTTAGAAAGATGGTAATGATAACCCTATATGCAAAACAGAAAAAAAGACACAGATGTATAGAACAGATTTTGGGACTCTGTGGGAGAAGGCGAGGGTGGGATGTTCTGAGAGAATAGCATTGAAACAAGTATACTATCAAGGGTGAAACAGACCACCAGCCCAGGTTGAATGCATGAGACAAGTGCTTAGGGCTGGTGCACTGGGAAGACCCAGAGGGATGGGATGGGGAGGGAGGTGGGAAGGGGGATCGGGATGGGGAACACATGTAAATCCATGGCTGATTCATGTCAGTGTATGGCAAAAACCACTATAATATTGTAAAGTAATTAGCCTCCAACTAATAAAAATAAATGAAAAAAAAACTATCATGGCATCCAATTCCAACACATCATGTCAAAGTGATGGGGATAAAGGTGAAGTAGAGATGGATTTTATTTTTTTAGGCTCCAGAATCATTGCACCCATGAAATTAAAAGATGCTTTTTCCTTGAAAAGAAAGCTATTACAAACCTCAGTTCAGTTTAGTAGCTCAGTCGTATCTGACTCTTTGCGACCCCATAGACTGCAGCTCGTCAGGCTTCCCTGTCCTTCACCAACTCCCGGAGCTTGCTCAAACTTGTGTCCATCAGGTCAGTGATGCCATCCAAACATCTCATCCTCTGTCATCCCCTTCTCCTCCTGCCCTCAATCTTTCCCAGCATTGGGGTCTTTCAAATGAGTCAGTTCTTCCCATCAGGTGGCCAGAGTATTGGAGTTTCAGCTTCAGCATGAGTCCTTCCAATGAATATTCAGGACTGATTTCCTTTAGGATGGACTGGTTGGATTTCCTTACAGTCCAAGGGACTTTCAAGAGTCTTCTCCAACACCACAGTTTAAAAGCATCAATTCTTTAGTGCTCAGCTTTCTTTATAGTCCAACTCTCACATCCATACATGACTACTGGAAAAACCATAGCTTTGACTAGACAGACCTTTGTGGCAAAGTAATGTCTCTGCTTTTTAATATGCTGTCTAGGTTGGTCATAACTTTTCTTCCAAGGTGCAACCATCTTTTAATTTCATGACTGCAGTCACCATCTGCAGTGATTTTGGAGCCCAAAGAAATAAAGTCTGCCACTGTTTCCATTGTTTTGCCATCTATTTGCCATGAAGTGATGGGACAGAATGACATGATCTTCATTTTTTGAATGTTGAGTTTTCAGCCAACTTTTTCACTCTCCTCTTTCACTTTCATCAAGAGGCCCTTTAGTTCTTCTTCACATTCTGCCATAAGGGTGGTGTCATCCCATATCTGAGGTTATTGATGTTTCTCCTGGCAATCTTGATTCCAGTTTTTGCTTCATCCAACCCGGCATTTCACATGATGTACTCTGCATATAAGTTAAATAAGCAGGGTGACAATATACAGCCTTGACATACTCCTTTCCTGATTTGGAACCAGTCTGTTGTTCCATGTCCAGTTCTAACTGCTGCTTCTTGACCTGCATACAGATTTTTCAGGAGGCAAGTCAGGTGCTCTGGTACTCCCATCTCTTGAAGAATTTTCCACAGTTTGTTGTGGTCCACACAGTCAAAGGCTTTGGCATAGTCATTAATGCAAAAAATAGATATTTTTCTGGGACTCTCTTGCTTTTTCGATGATCCAGAGGATGTTGTCAATTTGATCTCTGGTTCCTCTGCCTTTTCTAAAACCAGCTTCAACATCTGGAAGTTCTTGGTTCACCTACTGTTGAAGTGTGGCTTGGAGAATTTTGAGCATACTTTGCTAGCTTGTGAGATAAGTGAAATTGTGCGGTAGTTTGAACATTCTTTGGCATTGCCTTTCTTTGGTGTTGGAATGAAAACTGACCTTTTCCAGTCCTGTGGCCACTACTGAGTTTTCCAAATTTGCTGGCATATTGAGTGCAGCACTTTCATAGCATCATCTTTTAGGATTTGAAATAGCTCAACTGGAATTCCATCACCTCCACTAGCTTTGTTCATAGTGATGCTTCCTAAGGCCCACTAGACTTCATATTCCAGGATGTCTGGCTCTAGGTGAGTGATTACACCATCGTGGTTATCTGGGTCATGAAGATCGTTTTTGTATAGTTCTTCTGTGTACTCTTGCCACCTCTTCTTAATATCTTCTGCTTCTGTTAGCTCCATACCATTTCTGTACTTTATTGTACCCATATTTGCATGAAATGTTCCCTTGATATCTCTAATTTTCTTGAAGAGATCTCTAGTTTTTCCCATTCTATTGTTTTCCTCTATTTCTTTGCATTGGTCACTAAAGAAGGCTTTCTTATCTCTCCTTACTATTCTCTGGAACTCTGCATTCAGATGGGTATATCTTTCCTTTTCTCCTTTGCCTGCAGCTTCTCTTCTTTTCTCAGCTATCTGTAAGGCCTCCTCAGACAACCATTTTACCTGTTTGCATTTCTTTTTCTCGGAGATAGTCTTGATCACTACCTCCTGTACAATGTCATGAACCTCTGTCCATAATTCTTCAGGCACTCTGTCTATCAGGTCTAATCCCTTGAATCTATTTTCATTTCATTTCTACTGTATAATCAATCATAGGGGTTTGATTTAGGTCATACCTGAATGGTCTAGTGGTTTTCCCTACTTTTTTCAACTTAAGAAACCTAGAAAAACCTAGAGAGTATATTAAAAAGCAGAGACATCACTTTGCCAATGAAGGTCCCTACAGTCTTAGCTATGGTTTTTCCAGTAGTCATGTATAGATGTGAGAGGAGGCTGAGCACTGAAGAATTGATGCTTTTGAATTGTGGTGCTGGTGAATACTCTTTAGAGTCCCTTGGACTGCAAGGAGATCAAACCAGTGCATCCTAAAGGAAATCAACTCTGAATATTCATTGGAAGGACTGATGCTGATGCTAAAGCTGCAGTATATTGGCCACCTGATGTGAAGAGCCAACCAACTGGAAAAGAACCTGATGGTGGGAAAGGTTGAAGGCAAAAGGAGAAGGGGATTGCAGAGGATGAGATGGTTTGATAGCATCACTGACTCAATGGATATGAATTTGAGCAACCTCTGGGAGATAGTGGAGGACAGATGAGCCTAGGGTGCTACAGTCCACTGGGTCACAAAAGGATAGACATGATTTAGCAACTGAATAACCACAACAAAAGAGGATTTTTAAGGGAGTGAAACTATTCTATATGATACTATAATGGTGAGTACATATGGTTTATACATTTGTCAAAACTCACAGAATGTGTACCTAGCATGAACCCTAATGTTAACTATGGACTTTGAGTGATCAGTTCAGTTCAGTTGCTCAGTCGTGTCCGACTCTTTCTGACCCCATGAACCGCAGCACACCAGGCCTCCCTGTCCATCACCAACTTCCAGAGTCCACCCAAACCCATGTCCATTGAGGTTAGATGATGCCATTTAACCATCTCATCCTCTGTCATCCCCTTCTCCTCCTGCCCTCAATCTTTCCCACATCAGGGTCTTTTCAAATGAGTCAGCTCTTTGCATCAGGTGGCCAAAGTACTGGAGTTTCAGCTTCAACATCAGTCCTTCCAGTGAACACCCAGGACTGATCTCCTTTAGGATGGACTGGTTGGATCTCCTTGCAGTCCAAGGGACCCTCAAGAGTCTTCTCCAACACCACAGTTCAAAAGCATCAATTCTTTGGTGCTCAGCTTTCTTTATAGTCCAGCTCTCACATCCATACATGACCACTGGGAAAACCATAGCCTTGACCAGACAGATCTTTGTTGGCAAAGTAATGTCTCTGCTTTTTAATGTGCTATCTGGGTTGGTCACAACTTTCCTTCCAAGGAGTGTCTTTTAATTTCATGGCTGTAGTCACCATCTGTAGTGATTTTGGAGCCCAGAAAAATAAAGTCAGCCACTTGATGTGTTAAAGTGAAAGTGAAAGTCACTCAGTCATGTCCGACTCTTTGAGACCCCGTAGACTATACCGTCCATGGAATTCTCCAGGCCAGAATACTGGAGTGGGTAGCCTTTCCCTTCTTCAGGGGATCTTCCCAACCCAGGGACTGAACCCAGGTCTCTCACACTGCAGGCAGATTCTTTACCAATTGAGCCACAAGGGAAACCCAAGAATATTGGAGTGGGTACCCTGTCCCTTCTCCAATGGATCTTCCTGACCCAGGAATCAAACCAGGATCTCCTGTATTGCAGGCAGATTCTTTACCAACTGAGCTATCAGGGAAGCCCTAATATGTTAAGATAGGCCCAATGATTATAACAAATGTACCACTGTGAGATGTGGGGAGTATAGATAGACAGAAAGACCATGTATCTGTAGGGGCAAGGATTTGGGAACTCTCTGGACTTTCCACTCAGTATTGTTGTTATCCTAAAACTGTTCTAAAAAATAAAGTCCATTAAAAAAAAGTTTTATATGTAAATATATAAAATCAAGTCACATATGTATATATATATATATATATGTATATATATAATATATACAGATATATAAAATCAGACTTCCCTGTGGTAAAGAATCTTCCTGCCAATGCAGGAAACACAGGTTCAATCCCCAGGTGGAGGAGGAAATGGCAACCCTCTCCACTATTCTTGCCTGGAAAATCCCATGGACAGAAGAGCCTGGCAGGCTACAGTCTGGGGGGTCACAAAGAGTAGACACAACTAGTGACTGAATACATACACATATATATAGTTAGTGTTACTGAACAATAGATACATGTATTATTAAGGAGATAAAAAAAGAAAAGCTGTTAAGCCCAAGAAGAACAAAAATTTATTCAGAGACAAATATATGAGTTTATTTATTGATTCAGTTCTTAACAAAACATACACATTCAAAATAATGTAAACATTGTCTAATTTAATCCAAACTTGCTATTTTACTGTATATGAAGAATGAGGGAAGAGAAGAAAGTAAAAATCTTTGTCTATCATGAGAAGTGGGTTCAGTATGTCCAAATTTGCTATATTAAGGAACAGCCATATAACCATGTGATTTATATTAATAAAATTTGAGTCAATTACTATAAGAAACACTCAAACATTTGAAATACTTCCCTTGGGAGATCATGTAAGAATGGAGAGGTGGAGGTGGAGAGAGAGGTCTAATGTTTTTTTATCATAAGCTTATAGAACAATGTGGACTTTAACCTATATGAGTTATGTTGATTAAAATAATAGTTTTAATAATAAGAAATAAGAGTAGGATAGGAACAGAGAGTAGAGAAACTAAACAGTTATGAACTGAATCATAGATGCTAGTATATGACATTTAGGAAGTTTTATTGGAGGAAACTGAAAGAGAAAATTCTATCAGGCTGAGGATTCACAAAGGTAATTTATGAATAACTTTATTCTTCTAATAAAATTATAATTACTTGTTTAAAATTATACTTTATCTTTCTATTAAAGCCATAAATATTTATTTTAAAGTATACGATGCAAGTAAATTTAGCAGTACAGAAAGGACCATTAAAAGTAAAATAAAATGCATTCTATATATGACTTTTTACAACAAATTTCTTTAATATTCTTCTAGGCAAATTTCTTTGTTTTGAGGAGAAGAGGAAGATAAAATGGAGATTGGAAAGGACATTCTAGAATGAAGTTTCTCTGCACACTCCTTTTTCCTTCTTAAGGTAACTCCTCTAAAAGACAGGGAAAATCAAACACAAAACTAGAAAAATTACCTACCTCTTTCCAGCTGTATGGACAGACTCTTGTTGCCAGTCAAGTGGGAGACAAAGCAGGACACAGCAGGCACATTGTGGCCCCCCCAGCGGCATGTACTCTGGACAGTCACTGTGCCATCACCCCAGTAAGGCTCTTGCTCAGTGACACAATCACCCTCTGGGGTCCAGGAGATCTGTGCAGCTGGTTTCCCTGCAGCTGCTTTGCACACTGCAGTTCCATTCTCAGTTTGAATCAGGGTCACCTCAGGGGGCACTGCAGAAATGTAGGGGAAATGCTTCAGTCTTAACATATGGGACATGGAATTTAGAGTGAGATTTGTTTCAGCCCAAAATCTGGTTATCTGAAACACTGCAATATATGATGTTCCTTACCTAACACTTGGAGGTGATATCCATGTTGGAAATTCCCATCAAGTGTTACTATATGACACGTGTAATTCCCATCATGAGTGATGGCCACTGGATAAATCAGAAGAGCAAGATTCTCATCAGGTCTGGAGGCCCAAATTATTCTCTCATCTGTACAGTTTTCTGTTGTGGTCTGATTCGTATCACGCCTAAAGGCTCTGAAGCAGGGTGGCTTGTCTCTGAGGACTATTTCCCATGTTGCTACCAGCACATTTGTCCGCAGCACAGGAGGGCAATAGAGCACAGACTTTGTACCCACTAGTACCAATAGTGAAGTGTTAGCTGGACACATACACACAGGCACAAATACAGAGAATAATAAGAGAAAAGCTTGATAAAGAACTTCATGTGTTAAAATGTATTCACTGCATATTACTTGAAATTGTACTTTACATTACTTTGCTGGTGTCTTACTCCAGAAATCTTAAACTTACATAAGAAACTAACATTGATGAAAAGCATATAAAGTATTAAACCCATCCAGTGATCCCCTGGAGAAGGGCATGACAACTCACTCCATTATTCCTATCTAGAGAATCCCAAGGACAGAAAGCCTGGCAGGCTACAGTCCATACGGTCGCAAACAGTTGAACACAACTGAAGTGACTTAGCACATAGCACAAAGATTAAACAACTTACTTCTGTGTTATGTATCAATAAGAAAATAACATGAATTATACTTGTGACAAAACTGTTTAAAGTGTTACAAAATTAATTCAGGAGATTTGATATCTATAAGGCAAATAGATGAGAATGCAGAATCTAAAATAAAGACAAAGACAGTTTTCTAAATCTAATCTTTTGACCACAGAAACTATTAGATTTATCATACAACTCATGCTCCTCAGGGGAGGAAAAATGGAAGCATTAGTAACGCGTTTTTTTCCTCCTAAATTCTGATGAAAGTGAAAAATCAGTAACATCAGAACTAAACACCTATCCTTAACGGTGGCACTGCAGACAAACATAAATCTGGAAGAATATGATATTTTCATTAAAAATAGCTAAGATGGCATTCAGGTTGAACAAGCTGGAATTTCTTTTGTTTAATTTTTATTTGGAGAATCACAAAATCAGTTAAGTCAACAGATTTTGAAATAATCTGCAATTTCCTTAGGTGGGCCACCTCACAAAAATGAAAAATGATGATGCCAAGTGGTAAGAGATTCTTAGAAGTATTTTTCTAGAGAAAAAAAAAAGAGTAGTACAATATATAAATACAAATCAATGCAAAAACAAGGATTATTTTCTTCTGTAAATTTTCTATTAAAAGGATTTTATTGCAAATGTGTAGTGGTATCAAATATGGCCTTTCAGTGAGTTCCCCTTCCTTCCTATTCACTCACATATATACTCCCTGACTGTTTGCTGTGAACCTTGCTCACAAATTTTGTTTCCATAATTTAATTATCAGTATAAATATAGCATTGACCTATTTTTCCATATTTTAAAGTAAAAATTAAGACTGGCAAGCACCTCTCAATATAGAAGCTCACACTTTCCCATAAACTGACATGTGTCCCTGATTGAAAGGGATTTGCTGAGAGGTGATTCTGTTACAAGTCACCTGTAACTAAGGTGAGTGTCGGTGATTTCATCAGTTTAACATGAACAGAACCAACTGTAGCATGGCAAAATTTTTTACGTGGATGAAGCTTATTTGTTTAAAACTTTGCATTTAATACTTTTCCGCTCTTTTGGTATCATCAGCCTCCTCTATGATGTACTCAAGCCCTTGCATCTCATGGCCAATATAAGATTATATTACTGGATAAAGGAAGAGATGATTTTAAAGCAGATCTAAGAGGGCAGTTAAATCCATGCTCTTTCCATTACTCTAAGTGGCATCCCCTAGGCTTGGAGACAAACAAGAATAGGGCTTGTTAGAGAGCTGCTAGAGGTTGGATGTGGGAAGCATCTTTGTGCATAAGGAAATGATGCTTAAGATAAAACCAGAAAAATAAGAGACCGGTGAGAGCAAGTTGTGAATATCCTTCTGTAGTTCTTGGGATTTTGAACTTTAGCTTATAAGCAGCATAAGACTTTAATGTTTTGTCTAATACTTATCCTCAATATCTGACTCTATTTTTTAAAGGAAAGTTCTTGCTAATCAAAAAAACACACAATTGAACAGGGGCATAGTATCCAAAGAAATAACTCCAATGGTAGGATTCCAAGCATTGCAGATATTCTATGTTCTTTCACTTTCTACCATTCTATAAACTTCAATCACCCTTCACCTTTTGCACGGTGATGATAGTTCTTTTGTTATTGTTGATTTTAAGCCTTTCTTCAACCTCTTTTTTCCTTTTTCATATCTGTTGTGATAATTTACCAATGACCAGTACCTCCACAACAATCTGTGGGCTTAACACCTAACAAATGTATTCTCCATATGCTTCCTGTGATCACCTAGGGTGATTTTACTTCTTGCTTCACTGAGAAGACAGTAGAGTCTCATCTTTGCTCCCAAAACAGCAACCACAACCCATTCTTCATCTATAAATATCTTCCAGTCTCATCCAGCCTTATGTACATAGACAAATTCTTGGCTCTGGGCATTTCATTTCTTTTCTCACTACCCTATGTTAGATTAAGTCCCCATCGCCATATACTTGGATTGATGCAAAAGCCTCCTAACTTCTGTCTCTGTCTCAAAACTCTTCTCCTCCAGTCCAGACATCCAGACATCATTACACTGCATCCAGACATCATTCTACAACATAGATAAGATTCGCTCAACTCTAAAACCCTCCAGAAATCACTCACTGCCTGAAAAATAAGTTTAAATGTCTTCATATTGGCTTTGAAAGCCCTCACTGTCACATTGACTCTCTTTACAATCTTATTTATTACACACTACATTGTCCCCGTGGTGCAGAAAAACACCAAGCACAATTCCGCTTCCATGTCATTTCTCACATTGTTTTTACAGTCTAGAATGCCCTATACAAATGCTCTTTTGCTATTAAAATGCACTTCCTTTAAGACTTGATCCACACGCTACATCCTCTGTGAGCACTTTCCTAAGCCTTGGTGCTTAGCCACTCCCTCTCTACAGTCTTGGTACAGATGATGTGAGTGCTTACCTCCTGTGTGATAGCTGTGCTCCTACCTGGGTTCCCCCATGAGACTGAACTCCCTAGGGGCTCTCTGATAGTCTTGCTCATCTTTATGTTCCTCCCAAAGCCCAGCATGGTGCCTGATAGAGAAAACCCCATAACCTTCCAGTGGAATTGAACAGCTTTAAGGGAGAATGGGTGAAGTAATTCAAGTCCCTTATCCCACAGCATTCAGATCACCATATTTTTCAACTGGGCCCAAGACCAGCACGGGGGCCAGACCACCATTGACTATGTTTCTGAGGAAGCTCAACATTCCATGCTTCAGTACTGGCCTCAAAAAAAAAAAAAAAAAAAAGGAAAGAAGAAACATACTACCTTCTGTAGGAAGTGTTACAGTGCTCTGCTTTCTGTCCATAGATGAAGTAATTTTTGAATCTAGAAAATATTCAGAGAAAAGTGGATGAAATCAATCTTAGAAATTTAGAGTGAAAACCATTATTTCTTCACCAGAACTTGTATACAACATGATAGAAAATCAATGAGCCATAACTAAAATTACACAAAAATCTTGGAAAACTGAAATTAGAGGAGGGCCCATCATTATATGAAAAACATGTTAACATTTGAAAATTACATTTATAAGTTATTAGTCAATGATTCCCCATTTATGCAACACCTCATTTTATATTTCAAACTATTTTGCAAAAGATAACCCTGCCCCCACCTTTCCCTACCCATAATGTATTGGTTCATCACGGACACCTCACATGAGCTGGGCTGATTTATGGTCTTTTTTTACAGATGCCACTACTTGATTAAAATTGTTTAGACCAGTGGTGGACACCTCAAACAGTTGGGCAAATCAAGTACTTTCTCAAGAATTTAAGAACCAGGACTGATAAGAATAGGCCATCCCTCTTTCTTCCCCATTTTTCCTACTGTGATGGTTAATTTTATGTCAGCCTAGCTAGTCCATAGTACCCAAATGTTTAGTCAAGCATTATTCTAGATGTTTCTGTGAAGGTATTTTTTATCAGTAGACTTTGAGTAAAGTAAATTTACCCTCCATAATGTGAGTGGCCTCATCCAGTCAGTTGAAGGATTTAATAGAAAAGACTGATCTCATGGGAAAGGGAATTCTGCCAGCACATTGCCTTCAGCCTCGAAAGCACCTCTTCCCAGGGTCTCCAGAGACCCTGCAGATTTTGGGCTTGCCAAGCCTCCACAATCACGTGAGTCAATTCCTTAAAATAAATCAATCTCTCCTCCTCTTTCTCTCTCTCTCCCCGCCTCTCTCTCTTTCTCTATCTCTACAGGATGTATGTCCAACACACACACACACATCTTTTCCTGTTTTTCTTTCGAACCCTGACTAATAAACCTACTATGGAAGAATGAAGCAAAAGCGGAAAGAGAGATGGCAGACTTCACCTAGTTCAAGTTCCCAATTCCATAGTTCCTGAGACCTACATGCATTCCTTCCCTTGAGTTCTGTAGAGTTTCTGACCATCAAAATAGTCCTAATCAACTTCAAATTTGCCTTCTGAAAAATCTATCATAATACTATTTTATTTAAACAACAACAATGATTTTTTAAATGCCTCTTATGACTTAAGGACCTAAAATTTCTTCCCCTTAGTTTATAAGACCACCATAAGAATTTCAATAATTTATGAGCACTCCTGCTTATAAAAATGTATTTTTGCTCCCCATTCTAATTTTTCTACCCAATTCTACCACATAATAAATAGAGAAATTCAATAATGTCTTAAAAATGAGCAGTGAACAGACCTCTGAAATAATTTGGCTTTTCTCAGCAACTAAGTGTTATTGAATTGGGCTGGAAAGAAGACAAAGAATGAGATTCCAACTATTAAATTTAGTCATATTGGGGTCAAATATCTATTCCAGAAACAGATAAGAAATCAGAGCTGACCTCAGAGGGATTACTGAGATCAAGTTACATCTTAGGTGTTCTAGACTCTGAAGCTCCATCGTAGCACACAATATAGCTTTGCCAAAGGACTAAAGAGTAGACATCTGAGGCTTTGGGTTCCATATGGTCTCTGTTGCAAGTATTCGATTCTGCTGTTGCAGCAAGAAAGCAGCCATATATAATAAGGGAACAAATGCCCATGGTTTTGTTCAATAAAATTTTCATCTACAAAAATATACAGCTGGCTGGATTTTGCCCATGGCCATAGTTTGCTAACTCTTGACTTAAAGTACAATATTTTTTTGTTCTAATTTCCTACATTGCCAACAGCTATAAATAAAAACAATGAACATCTACTGAATATTCTATTTTCCTTTGCTTACTTTGCCTTTTAAAAATAAATCTCCAGTGATAATTCCAAATTCTCCCTCAAATTACATAAGTTTCATATTCTATTTTTAACATGTTACAATTCCTTCCTTTCTTCCTTCCTTTCTTGCTTCCTTCCTTCCTCCCTTCTTTCTTTGCTCTCCTTACCTTTAGTGAAGTGTGGCAAGTATTGAGGACACCCAATAGGATTCTGATAAGTAAAAAAACTACAATGAACCATGCCCATTCCCAGCTAAAAGGGAGCTGTCTGGTGGTCAGAAGATGGCAGCCATAATAGACAAAGATTACTGGAACCTATCAAGGCCTTCTCTTGGGGGCATTTTGGCCTTTGCAGCCCTGAGACCTGCTGTTTCTGGAAGAATGTGTTTCACAACCATAATATTCTCTGGTTCTGGTTAAACAGAGTTCTTCTTCAGCATCAGTTCTTCACATGTCTGGCTGTCACCAATCATTCTCCCTATTTAAAAAAAAATTTTTTTGGCCACAGTGCATGGCTATCAGAATCTTATTCCCCCTACCAGGGATCAAACCCACACCCCCCGCCCGTGGAAATGAGGAGTCTTAACCACTGGACTGCCAGGGAAGTTCCATGCTCCTTATTTGAAAGGTATAGGTTGTTTGTTATAAATGGAAAGTTCAAAGAATCCAGCTTTGATTAATATCTTCTAGGAGATATTTTAAGACTTTTCTTCTTATCCTTTGGATTTCACTTCCTATGCCCCATAAAAATTGTTACTTTTGGTAACAGAGCAAATGATTTTCATGCTCTGAACTAAGCTGTTGCCATTTCAGTGAATTCTCATTTTAGCCATCTTGTTTGGGAATACTGTCAGTTTGGCACGTTAGTTTTTATGAGATGTAACTAAATCAGTATGGGTACCAGGGGATTCTGTTGGAAGAGCTTGGTCATATATTAAGTGGTGTCTTCATAATTGACTTCAATTAAGTCTTCCAACTCTTTGCAACCCCATGTCTGACTCTTTACGACCCCCATGGACTGTAGCCTGCCAGGCTCCTCTATCCATGGGATTCTCCAGGCAAGAGTACTGGAGTGGGTAGCCATTCCCTTCTCCAGGGGATCTTCCTGACACAGGGATCAAACCCAGGTCTCTTGCATTGCAGGCAGATTCTTTACCATCTGTGCTATCAGGAAGCCCATTTTCTGCCAACCTTATGGAAGAAAGAAAAGAAGAACTAAACAGGCTCTTGCTGAAACTGAAAGAGGAGAGTGAAAAAGTTGGCTGAAAACTCAACATTCAGAAAACTTAAGATCATGGCATCTGGTCCCATCACTTCATGGCAAATAGATGGGGAAACAATGGAAACAGTGACAGACTTTATTTGGCGGGGCTCCAAAATCAATGCAGATGGTGACTGCAGCCATGAAATTAAAAAGACTCTTGCTCCTTGGAAGAAAAGTTATGACCAACCTAGACAGCATATTATAAAGCAGAGATATCACTTTGCCAACAAAGGTCCATCTAGTCAAAGCTGTGGTTTTTCCAGTAGTGATATATGGATGTGAGATTTGGACTATAAAGAAAGCTGAGTGCCGAAGAATTGATGCCTTTGAACTGTGGTGGTGGAGAAGACTATTGAGAGTCCCTTGTACTGCAAGGAGATCCAACCAGTCAATCCTAAAGGAAATCAGTCCTGAATATTCATTGGAAGGACTGATGCTGAAGCTGAAACTCCAATCCTTTGGCACCTGATGTGAAGAACTGACTCAATTGAAAAGACCCTGATGCTGGGAAAGATTGAAGGCGGGAGGAGAAGGGGACAACAGAAGATGAGATGGTTGAATGGCATCACCAACTCAATGGACATGAGTTTGAGTAAACTCTGGGAGTTTGGTAATGGACAGGGAGGCCTGGCATGCTGCAGTCCATGGGGTTGCAAAGAGTCGGACACAACTGAGTGACTGAACTGAACTAAAAGTCTTCAAGTTTTTGAGTTTCAGTGGACTAGAGTGTAAAAGTGACTTCATGCTTAATAAAGGTATTCCAGTGAGTGGAGGCCCATGGAGAATTCTGCCTCTCAAACCACTTACAAAATTCTCCTACAACTGAGCAACATTCACTGTCTAAAGAAAAATACCTTGGGAAGAAAATCAGTAAATTATTTCTTGCAACTCCTCATACCAGAACTAAAACCTACAAGTTGTAGTGTACTCTTAACTGTGCTAAAATTACATTTTTCAGAAAAGAAAAATTTTACGCTTATTTTCAGAAGTAGTCCTCTGATTACTTTTATAATACTAGAGATGTTTTTTAAACTTAGTTAATTGCTAATATGAGTCATCCAGTTTTATTTTCTCCATTTGGTATCTGGTTCCTATAGAATGCCAATTTCACATGATGTATCATGTCTTCATTGATAAAAGAAAGCATCTTTATTACTCAGTCTTTCTTGAAGCTTTGTATATACCAAAGTAGTACAACAATCATTTAAAGCTTCTGAGCAATGGTTCTATGATTTCTGTCTTCAATTTCTTCATATGAAACCAAATTTTCTTTTAAGTTTAGAAAGATTATAGTTTTACATTAACATAAGAAGTCTAATTTAAACTCTTTCAGTATGTACATATACTGTCAGTCCCCACCTTGGGATGGTATGATTTAGAATTTCTTTTTTTATTCTATAATGGTGCAAAATTGATATGCATTCAGTAGAAACGGTACTTTGAATTTTTGGATTTTGATTGCTTTCCAGGATAGCAATAATGCAGTACAATATTCTCTTGTGATGTTGGGCAGCTGCAGTAAACCACTGCCCCCAGTCAGTTCCCAGTTGTAAGCTGATATACTTACAACTATTCTGTATCCATACAAACATTTTTTTTCACTTTCTCAAAAGGTAAGTATTCAATAAATTACATGAGATATCCATGTTAGTATAAGATAGGCTTTGTGTCAGATGATTTTGTTCAACTGTTTAAAGAAGGCTCGGCTAAGTTTTGATGTTAGGTTGTTATTGTTCAGTCGCTAAGTTGTGTTCGACTCTGCAGTCCCATGGACTGCAGCACACCAGGCTTCCCTGTCCTTCACTATCTCCTGGAGTTTGCTCAAACTCATGTCCATTGAGTTAGTGATGCCATCCAACTACCTCATCCTCTGTCACTACCTTTTTCTCCTGTTAGGTAGGTTAGGTGTATTTTGACTTAAGATATTTTCAACTTAGGATGAGTTTATTGAGCCATTATGCTATCATAAATCAAGGAAGATCTATATATAGACTGAATCATATGTGGACTGTGCTTTTAAAAATATGTTTACAGTAGAAAAGTAACTTAGTTACTCTTTATATTAGTTTCCTAGAGCTGTCTTTATATGCATCCTCAAACTCAATGCCTTAAAACAGCTATTTATTCTCACACATTTCTGGAAGCCAGAAGTCTGATATCAAAGTGTTAGCAGGACCATATTCTTTCCAAAGCCTCTAGTATAGAATCCTTTTTTGTTTCTTCCAGGTTTGGGTGGCTGCCAGAAATCTTGGTGTTCCTTAGCTTGTAGATGTATTACCATCTTCACATTGTATTTTCCCTTGTGTCTTCTCCTTTTCTTTTCTAAGCACATTTGTCATTGGATTAGGGCCCACGCTAATCCAGGATGATCTCATCTGAAAGCGTTAACTTAATTACATTTTCAAAGAAACTTTGTCTAAATATACCCAATTTGTAGTTTCCTGGTGGACATATCTTGATGTGGAGTCACCATTTAACCCCCTAAACTCAAGCACTATTTGCACCCCTCAAATTAATAGTTTACATAGTCATTTTACTTACTTGAGTCTGCAGTTGACCTGAAATCTAATTTTTCTAGATAGTAAATAATTAAATATAATTAGAAAAGATATTTATTGAGTCCAAGAATACATTTTGAAATCACTAGAATTATTTTTCCATGAAGTGCTCAATGTAAAATATGTAACAAAAATAGTATTTTGAAATATAAAGAAAGAGTTAAATGATGAGGAATAAAAATTAGGGAGACAGTAGAGCTGGGCAAAGGCATACAGAAAGTAACACCTGGTAAGGCCAATTTTTTCAAGTTTTCTAGAGTAAAATTAGTAAACCTATGATTTAAAAATTGAATGAAAAAAATTGGGGTTGTGCTGTTGGTTTACTTCATGATCACAGTCTTGAAATAGGTACTAAACAAGCACAGAAGATAATTCCAGAATGAAAAATTTACGAACATTTTTAAACATAAGCAGTATTTCATTTAGACAATTTTAGGCAATTCAATCTATAAATGTACTTAAGACAGTTCAAGATCTCAAAGTGTAAAAGTTGTACAAGCCTCAAGCACTTTCATACAAGTGCTCAGGGCTGGTGCACTGGGAAGACCCAGAGGGATGGGATGGGGAGGGAGGTGGGAAGGGGGATTGGGATGGGGAACACAGGTAAATCCATGGCTGATTCATGTCAATGTATGGCAAAAACCACTACAATATTATAAAGTAATTAGCCTCCAACTAATAAAAATAAATGAAAAAATAAATAAATAAAAGACTGAATAATATTCCACTGTGGGAAAAAAAAAATGATGAGCATTACCTGAACTGTGATTGCCATTGTCCATCTGCTGCATTGAGTTGTTTGATGTTATAGGACCTTTCATTCCCTCACTGAAGCATTCTGGAAAGACACATGGGGTGAAGAGAGAAATACACATAAGCATTTCTTACTCCTGGTGAAAATTACTTTTTTTTCACAGTCCTTGGGCCATTTGGGGGTTGCAGTTGCCAATAAAAACATGAATTATGACAGGAAGGCAAACATCTCAGAAAAATTTATCCTGGTATGAACTTTTGATTTGATCTTCCTACATATATGGCATACCCCCAGTGCCCCCCAGTGCCCCCAGTGCCACTCACCACCCTCCTGTCTTATATTCAAGTCAAAGTATTTCTTCTTCTAGCATAAATGCATTTAATCTATCTCCATTTAATGCATTTAATCTATCTCCAGTTGTGAAAAAGTTTTTTACTATCTGTTACAGACACTTCTGTCTATAACACAGAATGAGAGCACAATTGCACTCATCTCACACACTAGTAAAGTGATGCTCAAGCCGGGCTTCAGCAATACATGAACCATGAACTTCCAGATGTTCAAGCTGATTTTAGAAAAGGCAGAGGAACCAGAGATCAAATTGCCAACATCTGCTGGATCATCGAAAAAGTAAGAGAGTTCCAGAAAAACGTCTCTTTCTGCTTTATTGACTACTCCAAGACCTTTGACTGTGTGGATCACAATAGACTGTGGAAAATTCTGAAAGAGATGGGAATACCAGACCATCTGACCTGTCTCTTGAGAAACCTGTATGCAGGTCAGGAAGCAACAGTTAGAACTGGACATGGAACAACAGACTGGTTACAAATAGGAAAAGGAGTACGTCAAGGCTGTATGTTGTCACCCAGCTTATTTAACTTACACGCAGAGTACCTCATGAGAAACGCTGGGCTGGAAGAAGCTTGTGCTGGAATCAAGATTGCCAGGAGAAATATCAATAACCTCAGATATGCAGACGACACCACCCTTCTGGCAGAAAGTGAAGAGGAACTAAAAAGCCTTTTGATGAAAGTGAAGGAGGAGAGTGAAAAAGCTGGCTTAAAGTTCAACATTCAGAAAACTAAGATCATGGCATCTGGTCCCATCACTTCATGGGAAATAGACGGGGAAACAGTGGAAACTGTGTCAGGCTTTATTTTGGGGGGCTCCAAAATCACTGGAGATTTTTTGGGCTCCAAAATCAGATGATGATTTCAGCCATGAAATTAAAAGATACTTACTCCTTGGAAGGAAAGTTATGACCAACCTAGACAGCATGTTATAAAGCAGAGACATTACTTTGCCAACAAAGGTCCATCTGGTCAAGGCTATGGTTTTTCCAGTGGTCGTGTATGGATGTGAGAGTTGGACTATAAAGAAAGCTGAGTGCTGAAGAATTGATGCTTTTGAACTGTGGTGTTGGAGAAGACTCTTGAGAGCCCCTCGGACTGCAAGGAGATCCAACCAGTCCATCCTAAGGAGAGAAGTCCTGGGTGTTCATTAGAAGGACTGATGTTGAAGCTGAAATTCCAATACTTTGGCCATCTCATGCGAAGAGTTGATTCATTGGAAAAGACCCTAATGCTGGGTAGGATTGGGGGCAGGAGGAGAAGGGGACGACAAAGGATGAGATGGCTGGATGGTATCACCGACTCAATGGACATGGGCTTGGGTAGACTCCAGGAGTTGGTGATGGACAGGGAGGCCTGGTGTGCTGCGATTCATGGGGTCGCAAAGAGTCAGACACAACTGAGCGGCTGAACTGAACTGAACAGACATTTCAGGCACCAGTGAGAAAGGAGAATTTTAGTACTGATATGTTGATTGGATGCTGATATAGAACAACAAAGGAGTTTCCTAAATACTGTTGCAATCACATCACATAGACAATTGTCTATTAAGTTCAAATTTTACAAGACAAGCTCCAAGTGAAAATTGTTAGTAAGCATTTTTTGAGTAGCAACTCCTGGCAAAGTACTCACTAGTCATAGAAACATCATAATCAGCAATACCCTTTTCTCTCCATAAGCCTGAGGTCCAGGCAAGAAATTAACTGTACAATTATAAAATAAAGTTTCAGTGTGATGATAGATGTATACATAATGTCCAGAAGTTTAAAAGAAGAGGTTTTTAACTCTAAGAGAGCAGGGGTAAAAGATTAGGGAGGACTTCCTACAATAGTTGATATTTGAGGTGGATCTTAGAAGATGGGTTTTTCTAGGAAACTAAAAGGAAAAAGAATATTGCACACAAAGAATGGCATTTAAAAGAAGGCATGAAGCCATTTGGGGGTTTCAAAGAACTACACATGGTTGGGTATCGTCATTATGTGGGAAAAACTGGATGTATGATTAGAATTGAGGCTGGATACTAGCAGGCTCTAATTGTGGAAGGCATAAAACTCAAAGTATTCACAAGGAAATGATATACTTCCAGTGCATCTACAGTATCTGACCAACAAAGAGAAACATTTTAGGGTAAAATTCATGCACAGTGGTTTTTGGAGAACTTTTTAATACACCACTCCCTCCCTTTTAGTTACTATTTACTTTAATAAAATTAAAATAATTTTTGAACACTTACATTAGGAACAGATTTTTGGTAATTTGCATGTTATTCATTTGAGTCTCTGCATGTTGACAAGTGGTATCATCCTCATTTTACAGATAAAGAAATTTAGACTCACAGTGATGAAGCAGATTGGCCAAAGTAACTCAGCTTGGGCTTCCCTGGTGGCTCGGATGGTAAAGAATCTGCCTGCAATGCTGGAGACCTGAGTTCAATCCCTGGATTGGGAAGATCCCTGAGAGAAGGGGACAGCTACCCACTGTAATCCTCTTGCCTGGAGAATTTCATGGACAGAGGAGCCTGGGGGGCAATAGTCCACGGGGTCACAAAGAGTTGGACACAACTGAGAGGCTTTCACATTCACCCCAGCTTTTAAGCTCCTCCAATTGCCAAATTACTCTTATGCAAGTAGTTCTTACCACAATGAGTAGAAGCCAAGGGTTGGTTCCTAAGAAATACACTACCCATAAATGTGTGCTAAGTCGCTTCAGTCATATCCAAATCTTTGCAGTGCTATGGACTCTAGCCTGCCAGGCTCTTCTGTCCATGGGGATTCTCCAGGCAAGAATACTGGAGTGGATTGCCATACCCTCCTCCAGGGGCTCTTCCCAACTGAGTGATCGAACCTGCATCTTTTATGTCTGTTGTATTGGCAGGAGGGTTCTTTACCACTAGTCCCACCTGGGAAGCCCAAAATTAACCCAAAATGAGAGAGTTGGAGAAGCAAGTCCCAGCCATGTTTCTGTAGAAACAGAGAGACAAAGGTCTGAAAGATCACATCAACAGGTAAGTCCATAGAATCGGGATTATTATAAAGGCACATGAACACAAGCATTATGAATTCTGGATCTGAATAGGAATAGTTAACCTAAGGAGGAGGATTTGAGACATTTGCCAAAATTCATGGGCCAAAACCACCACTCCCTCACTAGACTGTAAACTCCAGGCGGGGCAGGGATTTTCATCTAGGTTGCTCATTCTTCATCCTCAGAGCTTAAAAGAGTGGTTTGCACAGCATCCTGGCAGGCAGCTGGCTCAAGCTGGGTTAAAAATTAAGGTCAACACAACCCTATAGTTGTGGACAATTTACAGAAAAAGAAGTATACATGTCTCCTAGTCATTTAGAAAGAAGGTCAACATCATTTATGGTAAAAGAAATGCAAATTAAAACAATGCAGAAATGCTATATCTCACCTATAAGATCGTCAAAACCGAAAAGTTTAACAATATACTCTGTTTGCAAAACTGTAGAGAGATAGGCATGACATATACTGCTGGTAGGAATGTAAAATGTTGCCATTTCAGTAATAGAAAATTTGACAATAAGTAGCAGTTACATATGCATTTTCCTTTTGACCCAGCCATATCACTTCCCAGAATCTATCCCAAAGCTATATAGGCAACAGTATGAAATACATTAATATATATAACAGAAGGCAGGTCATTACTACATTGTATTAGCAAAACTTTTAGAAATAATCCAAATCATAGGAAAATAGTTGTCTAAATTATAGAACATCCACAAAATGAAGTACCATGAAACCCTTAAAAAGAATGAGGGATATCTTTATAAACTATTACCAGAGTGATCTCCAGGACATAATGTTACATAAAAGAAGCAGGACAGATAAAAGTGTACATAGTATCAAATTTTGTGATATGCAGCTAGCCTAAAGCAATGCTTACAGAAAAAATAATAGCTTTAAAGACTAGTAACAAAATAGGAATTACCTAAAATCCACCTGAAGAAGCTAAAAACAAACGAGAAAGATGAAAACAATAAAAGGAAGAGCAGAAATCAACAAAACAGAAAACAAGTAATAATAAATAAATAAATAAACAAGTAATAATTAACAAAATCAAAAGCTGGTTCTTCAGGAGTTCTCTGGTTGTCCAATGGTTAGAACTCAGCACTTTGACTACAGAAATTCAGATTCAATTCCCAGTCAGAGAACTAATATCCTATAAGCCACAGCACAGCTGAAAAAACAACAGTATGTGAAAAACTTTTACAATTCAATAACTTTTTAAATAAATTTTTAAAAAAACCAGGCAAATGACTTAAACAGACACTTGACCAAAAAAAAAAGAAATTCAGATTACCAATAAATACACAAAAGAGATGTTCAACATTAGTACTCATAGAGGAAATACAGATTTAAATCACAATGAGACAATGATTATGCACCTATAACTATGGCTAAAGTTAAAAAGACTGATAATATATATTGGTGAAAATGTGAAACAACTGAAACTTTCACACATTATTAGGGGGAATATAAAAAAGTATAACTGCACTAGAAAATTTATGGTATTTTTTCCAAAAGTCAAATACATGCCACATATAACCTTACCATTCCAATCCTAAGTATTTACCCAAGAGAAATAAAAACATGTCTACACAAAGACTTGTGCATGAATGTTCCTAGAAGCTTTATTCCCAGTAACCAAAAGCTAGGAACAACCCAAATGCCAGTCGACAGATAGCTAAGTTATCTGTATAATGGAATACTATT